TCCTTAGCAAGGAATTCAAGGTAAAGGATTTGGGTCAGATGAGTTATTTCCTTGGCTTGGAGGTTCTGAGAGACCACAAAGGAATTTCTGTTTGTCAAAGGAAATACTGCCTTGAGTTGCTTGATGACACTGGCTTTGTAGAATCTAAGGGTTGTTTGTTTGTCTCCAGTGGATTGTAATACCAAGTTCTCTACATAACAAGGTGATTTGCTGCCTGATCCAGGTGTTTACAGAAGATTGATTGGGCGCTTGCACTATCTCACCATCACAAGGCCTGACATAACCTATGTTGTACAACAGCTGGCTCAATTCCAATCAGCACCTTGCACTGAACATCTGCAAGCTGCACACAGAGTCATTAGGTACCTCAAACAAACTCTTGGCCAAGGTTTGATCTTCAGGGTAGATTCCAAGCTTGAACTTTCTGGATATTGCGATGCTGACTGGGCAAGCTGTCCTGACTCGAGAAGGTCTCTTACTGGTTACTGTATATTTTTGGGATCTTCATTGATAACCTGGAAGACTAAGAAGCAGACCACTGTGTCACGATCTTCCTCGGAGGCAGAATACAGAGCTCTGGCTCAAGTCGTTTGTGAAGTCCAATGGTTGAGGAATTTGCTTACAGAAATGGGAATCCAGGTACCTTTACCCATTCCTTTATTCTGTGATAACAAATCTGGTTGCATATCGCGGAAAACCCAGTTTTCCACGAAAGAACAAAGCACATCGAAATCGATTGTCATGTTACAAGAGAAACATTGAAGTCAGGGTTGATCAAATTGTTTCATGTAAGAACTGACGATCAAGTGGCAGACTTGTTTACAAAAGGCATGACACGATACAGATTGAAGTACCTGTTAGACAAGCTGGGAGTTCACAATGCTTACTCGCCAGCTTGTGGGGGAGTATCAAGTGGAGAAGAAGAAGAAGACACTCTGCAGAATGAATAGAAGTGAAGAATGCAGAGGTTGCTGAAGAAACGAAGAAGAAGAAACCTCACCCAGATACGGAAACGTTTCTGGGTTCCCTTCCATCCAACTTAGGCGAAGGAACAAGACGATGTCGCTGTGGAGTTCTGTTAGCTTACCGTTGGGTGGAATGAGTTATGACGAATCAGACTGTGCCAAGTGGCTTTTACCATTACTGTCAATTTGAATTTCAGTTTTTCATTTCCATTTTCATTGTTTATGTATCGTTAGCTAGACACTACTTGAATGATATATAAACCAAAGCCAGAGAGAACCTTTCTCTTTGCGCATTCCCAAATTCATTGTGTCGTCGTCTCTTCCGCTAAAACCCTAAGCTCGAGCTAATCTGAAACCGCTCGTTCACTTTCGCCCCCCTTCCGCAAGCGCAGAGAGCGGCTTCCGCCCATCCGCTTTCGCCTTTGTTCCCCATCCCGCCTCTCGCTAGGGGAGATCAGAGATAACGACGGCTCAAGCAAGCACGTCTTGTAATAGAGAGGCTATCTCAGCTGCGCAGGAAACGTGGGCGGTCGCTTTGGTGGCGATGGAACCGCGTGGAGGATTTATATAAAAATTAAGGAGTAGGGTGGACGTGGATGGGGAATTGGGTAGGGTTAGGTTTAGAGTTTGAATGGTTCTAGGGTATTTTGGGAATTTCACAAATTACGGGTGAGTTTAATCCGCAACTCAATTAACGTCCGTAACTTATTCGATTTATATCGAAACTCAACACCGTTTGAACCGAGAGTTTGCATTTTTAATCCTTATCGATAATACGGTGGAACTTGACCCAAGGGTATAATTGTCATTTTGACTTTTGGGAAGAGCGGGGTGTAACATTAGCTTTGACCACAACGGAGATCCTTTGGATTTAGTAATAATATAAAGGATACTGATAAATTCTGTTTCTTGAGTAGGTATTATATATATTTTATAAACGATGTGTGTAGTGTACATGTTACAAAAATGTGAATTAGCAATAGGACTAATAAGTAAATTGAGGAAAATTATTGCTAAGAGATATTGGATAGAGCTTTGAGTAATAGTGCTTTGTATCTACTTATTCCTCAAGTTTCTTAGAGCATTGTGGCATTTTGATATCGATATATTCAATAGTCAATACTCATCATGACAGTTCTCAAGTCTTTTAAGTAGTTTAGCTTGTGGAGAATTCATCTGATTTATAAGAAACTGGTGCAAGTGGGTTTGGGGTTTGCAATAAGCGATTAAAAACGTTTTGTTTTTCTTAAAAGTGAAAAAGATTTAAGGAAAAACTTAAAAGGCCCAATCGGACTTTGGTATATATGGTCTTGATGAGATAAATGGTTTGGGCTTTGGGTTATTAGATTAATGAGTTCGTTGTTATGGGTTAGTATTAGTACGTTACTTAGGTAGTATGGGGCCAAGTAGTACTTGTGTTAGTGGCAAATTGATGAGATGATCATTAGTTATGGAAAACTTATGTAATGCGCTTATTTAATTGACATATAATTGAAATGTTAAGTAAAAACAACTGACTTTACAAAATTTTAATATCATGTAAATGAGAAAGAGCTTATGGTGAAATTAGGTATGTAAAAAACAACTGACCCTTGACAATTTTAGTGCCATGTAAATGACAAAGAGCTTATGATGAAATTGGGCGAATAGTGTTATGTAAAAAAAGTTGGCCCTGCATTTTAGTGTCATATAAATGAGAAAGAGTTAATGGTGGAATTGCATGTACATGATAAATATTAGTGTGAACAGTAACCATGAAACAATAAAAGGAAGAAAAAACACTTGGGCGAGTTTTTCGTGAGGAACAGTGTTCCATACTTGCAGCTTTAATTAATTGATGATTGATTTACCCTTTTTCTATGAATAAGAAATAAGTAAATAACTATGAAGATAAATCTACCTTCATATTTTCGTTGAAGGAAATTAAAAATGTTGAAAAATTCTCCAAACTTTACTATAATATATTGGCAAAATACAGTTGTATACCCACAACTATCACGTTTGTGACAAATATATCCACAACTATCAAAATACACGGAATATCCAAAAATCGGAGGGTTGTGTGACAAATCTATCCATTTCTGTTACAAAATTTAACGTCGTTTGTTACGGCGTCAGTTAATGCGACGGAACGCTGACTAGGACCATACCCATCCCACACGTAAGCTCCTGGTCATCAAAATTTCACATGTGGACGCCACGTCAGCAAATAAATAAATAATTTTTTTTTTCTTATACCCTGGAGAAACGTGCCTCTCTCTCTCTTACCTTCTCCGAGTTCACCTTCACGCACTAAGCCAGCCGAAGGAACCATCGTCACCGCCGCACAAGCAATCGGAGGGTAGTAACAACAATCTGAAAAATAATCACCACCAGTACCAGAGGGATTCCTCTTCATCTTTCACATCTTCCCTTTAGCTGAAGGAACCATCGCTGCTGTTACGCCTCCTTCACTCCGCTCTTCGAGTTCGTCGCCGCTTGATCTCTCGCCGCGGCGGGGAGCTCCAGCCCTGGACCTGGCGACAGAGGATCTCGGTACGGCAACTGATTCGGGGGCAAAAAGGGAGGCGATTTCGGCGGTGGCCGTTGGGGAAGAGGCGATGAAGAGGAGTTGGGAGCCGAGTCGGAGGTGGTCTCCGGTTCTTGGAAGATGCAGAGGTTGCTAACAGAGAACAGAAACAAAATTATGGATTTACCCAAACCCACATCTCACCTCTGCAAGAACATTCAGGTCTGTGTAATGGGTCACGGCCTGCACGAGTGCCCAAGCAGCGAGGTCCAATTGACGACGATGGCGGCGGGATCTGAAGGCTGCAGCAGCGAGGTCCAATTGACGACAATGTCGGCGGTTGAAATGGAAACTCGAGGACGACGATAGTGTTGTGGTTGTTAGCGTCGGCGCCGGTTGATTAAAATTGAAAGAGAGAAAGAAGGTTTAGGAGGAGAGAAGAGGTAGAGTGGTGGCGGTGGAGGTGGAGGTGGAGGTGGGAGGAGGGCGATGAGAGAGAGGGAAGAGGTCGTGGAACGGAAAATGAATCGAAAAAGTTTTTTTACTTTATTTTTATTTGTTTCTTTTAATCCACGTCATTCAGTGGGGTCAGAAATACGCCAACTAAGCATCCACCGTTTGTCCAGTCATCAAGTTAACTGACGGAGTTAACGGAGTGGACGGAAATGGATATTTCGTGTATTTCGATAGTTGTGGATATATTTGTCACAAACCTGATAGTTGTGGATATACAGTTGTATTTTGCCTAATATATTTGTTGATGATGAATTTTTTTTAGGGTAAATACAATATATTAGCCACAACTATTATGAAGCGGGGAATTATAGCCACAACTATGAAAATTCAAATTATTAGCCAAAGGTTAACTATCTGTTAACAATTTCGTTAGTAATACTGACTAAACTTTTATGTTTTAAAGTTATAAATTAAAAGCATTCTGCCATGGCCGCTGCCATGGCCGATGACGTGGCCTTCTTCGTCAAAAATTCAATAACAGTAACGGACAGTTAGCCATATCTTGACCCGCAACAATAGTTATGGCTAATAATTTAAATTTTCATAGTTGTAGCTATAATTTCCCGCTTAATAATAGTTGTGGCTAATATATTGTATTTACTTTTTTTTATATGAAGATGCTATCTTGTATTCCATAAATCCAGAAAGAAATGTTCTTGCCGCGGTGGAGATAGTACTAGATCAGCAACAATAATCCATTCTCAAGGTATAGAAGATCTAAACGAGCATAAACTAGCAAACCCAATATGCTTGCGAATTCAAACGACGTGGAATGAAGATCACAGAAATCCAGGGAGCTGCCCGGGAAATGGAGAATGCTGATTATGATGATGATGAAAGGATTAGTCTATATAATATTTGCTCCCGCCGGAAATCGCGGCAAAGACAACCAATTCTCACAGATTACATCTCTTCACGATCTCCACCTCCAACGCTAATAAACTCCAGTTGCTTCGATCCGCCTCTAAATATGCTTTGTCATTTCCTCCTCCGATTCAAATCCTTCTCTCATGGCGTCCCTCGTTCTCCGCTCTTTCCACTGTAACTCTCTCTCTCTCCCTGTGAAGCTTTCTGCGACTATATCGGTCTCCCATTTCGTCTTCATTTAGTCAAAATCGCGTTTTAAAGTTAAAAAACTTACATTTTATGTTTCTAGGTGTACCAAACGGCTTCTACGCATTATCGTTGTTTTTATTATCTATTATAGTTAAAAACTACGATTTAAAACTTAAAAGTTTACGGTTTTACACTTTTAGATTACCAAAATATTTATACGTATAAATGCGCTTTTGACTAAATATGTTAGTTTCGTTTTTAAGATGTTTTGTTCTATGTACGGTTCACTCTCAGCAGGTTCGGTGCCTACAGTTTCAAACGCTGCCCATCCGCTAGCTGAAAGGACCGGTGCAGTTTCTTCTATCCAGAGTCGTGGCTTAAACAGGAGGCTTGTTTTCTCGCCGGCGAAGAGGAGGAATCTGTCTATTTTGTCGTGCGGGAAGTCGTCTGCAGATTCATCTCCAGCTTCCAAGTGTAATGGTGCGTATTTTCCCTTGATTTGTACTCTGCCACATAAGAGCTATTGCGTTTGATCTAATCGTGACTATGTTTTTGGCCGCCGTTTCATCTTGTGATTATTTGCGATTCCAAGTTTTAATAATGTTTTTGCTGGGAGGGAATATTATCAGCAATGTGTGTGTTTTTTTTTAAACCTTTTTACTATGTGGAAAAAGTCTTCTATCAGAGTGGGAAAATAAAGTTTTCATTTTTTCACTTAGAATTTTGGGTGACAAATTTTTTAGATTTATGATGAATTTATTGTATTATCAATTTAAAGAGTCGATTGTTTGCATGCTATATTTGATGATATTTTTATGAAGGATTTGTTACAAAGACATCAATGAAATTTTTATGTTCTTTAACCAAATTGCAACATAATCAGTGGGATTTACAGGGTCCACGCATTTAGAATATTAAAAACATCAAATTCATGGACCGCACGAACTCAACACTAATAAGCAAACAAGATATTTGGAGTAAATTCATCAATATGGGGATTTGGATACCGAATCCACAACCCAAATTTTAACAAGCAAACGACTGATTATATTCACACAGATACCTTATACCTACTTTTTCACGCGGTGTATAAATTTGAGTAAAAAAATAAATTGAAGATAGATGAGATGAATGATAGTGCATAAAAAAAATAAATCGTATATTGAATTTATAATGAATTTATTGCATTATGGATATGAATAGTCTATTGTTTGCACGCTAGATTTGATGATATTTTTATGATGAATTTGTTACGGATATCAATTGACATCAAGGATTTTTAAGCCCTTTAACCAAATTGCAACATGATCCCATGGATTGGATTAAAAATAGACCAAATTTCACTAATTTGAGGAGAGTACAGGTTACAAACCAAATTCCAAACGGACAAACCAAACAAACTAACCTGACTGACCTTACTACAGACTAGGGTGATGAAGAGTATTTATAGAACTCTTCTCCTAATCCCAAACAGAAAACCAAACACCTTTTCCCACAGATACAAGGAAAAATGTCAAAACAAAGCTCAAACACAAACCCAACCAGAATAGGCCCAAAACACAAAACAAACCCAAATCAAATTCAAGTCATATTCTAACAATGATATTTTATGATGAATTTGTTACGGATATCAATTGACATCAAGGATTTTTAAGCCCTTTAACCATATTGCAACATGATCCCATGGATTGGATTAAAAATAGACCAAATTCGTGGACACGGTGAATTTAACACTCATAAACGAACAAAAGGTTTGGAGAAAATCCATCAACGTTGAAATTTAGATACCAAATCCATAACGCAAATCCAACAAACTGGCTAACAACCACTCATATTCATGAACATTGCCTATTTCTTTCACGTGATATCTAATAGTGCATAAAAATATTTTTAAAGTTAGAACGAGATTAATGATAGTGCGAGAAAAAGTAGATTGTGTGTGAATGTAAGTGAATCTGCGTAAATAATCGGCATCATTGCTCGAAAATGTAGTTTTTGTACATGAAAATTTGTGTGAATATAAGTGAATCTGCGTGCGTTGTGACTTGTGAGAGCATCCACACTGGAATTGCATTTCCAATTGCAAAAATGGCATGACATAGGGTTTTTCAATTGAAAAAAACAATTGCCTTGATGTGACTACCCATTGCATATTTACAAGCTTGCCAAGTGCATATGAAAACCAAACCGACCTAAAAAATGGGATTCTTATTTATCTTTTTTTATTTTACTTTATTTTTCATAATTTAAAAAATAATATTTAACTAGATATGCTGCATTTAGATTACATTGATGTATGTGCCATGGTATTAATATAAGTTGAAGTGTCAAAATATTGACGTGACAATTGAAATCATATATATATATATATATATATATTCAATTGGTTTTGCAATTACATTGATGTGTATGTTCTTACGAATTGGTTGTACGTTCTGCATTGACTTTCTGCAGATGGTGCAACTTTCCCCAACGGTTCATCAACATCCATTCCATCCAACCCAATTGATGCAGCAGCTCCAACTCCAAAGCAGAGGTCCATTGATCCACTCACAGATGTTTCTTTCGGAAAGTCGTCGCCTACGTCGGCTGCTGTGTCGGAGACAAGAAGTGAGCAACGCAGCTTAGCTTCTCTCTACCTCCTCGCTTACAATTCAGTCCAGGCAGTGGGTTGGTAAATTTAATTTCCCCCCACCCTTTTTTCCCGCCTGAACTCGGAGATTTCAGAATCACCTCAATCGGTTCTTTCGTTTTGATTTCCATATGTTGATAACGAACAGGGCAGTCGCACTCGTCAGAATCCTGAGCAATTTCGCAGCTACTGGATCCGTAGCCGGAGCTTATGCTTCCGCCGGACATCTCATCTGTCAGTACCGTTCCTTCCCCTTAATTGAAACGTTTCTTCTTTTCCTTTCAAGTTTGGGATAGCAATTTAACCCGGACACATGGGTATCCGACTCGATACAACCCGGTCAAAATCGGGTAAAATTTATTGTTGATGGATTTTGGGTCGCGAGGTTGGAATAAGTTTGAGTTTTGTCAAAATTCAACTCGATTTCCATCCAGACCCGCACCAAACCACCAAAACGACGTTATTTTGTATATGACGTGAAAAATATTGATAATTTGTAGATATCGTTAGTCTTTATGCTAATATAAACCCGATACAATATGAATAATTTCATGATTGTTGTTAGTCTTTATATATATATATATATATATATATATAGAAGAAATTCCGATAATATTACGATGTGTGTCTTCGAAAATCCATACACTCATGATACTCGTTGAATTTGTTTTTCTAAATCGCTTGCTTAAATGTGCATTTAACGTACTCCCTCTAAATCCTACCTTTTATAAGGCTTACTGCAAAGCATTGCGTTCTTGGAAGTTGTCCACGGAGCATTAGGTGAGCCTTTCAACCTTCTTAATTTTGTTTCATTTTCTACGTAGAAGGATGTTGGTGATCTAAAAGTGTAAAAATACAAGTTTTAAAATTTTATAGCACGATTTTGACTATATTGACGAAAATATCAGGTCTTGTCCCGAGCGGCATTGTGTACCCGTTTATGCAATGGGGAGGCAGAACCCACTTCCTTCTGGCAGTCGTCCGCAGAATCGTTGAGGTCGATCTGCATTTTGATTATTCCTATCTAATTCTGCATGCTTGTCTTCTCTTGGGATATTAATACAATTCAGCTAGCTGGTATTGATTCTGATTTGAATGGTGCTCCCATTACTTGGTTTCATGTGCTTTTGTACCAGGTTCAGGAGCTACCAGCAGTTTTCATAACCTTCACGGCCTGGAGCATGATTGATGTGAGTATTCCGAATTCCGTTGAACGCATCAGGTGCTACTTATAAGATTTGAACTTGTAACTTCCAGGTCGAATAACAGTGGTAGTACTATTAGACCAAACCTTTTTTTCGGTAATAAATCCAATCTCTCACCAGACATTTTGTGTGCGCATGATCTTGGACTCAGGCTATCAGGTATCCACATTATGCTCTGAACATCATAGGCAGTTGTCCATCATGGGTTGTTTACATCAGGTAAGGCGTTCCTCCTCTGCAGCCGGATTCTCCATCCTTGGACTCTTTTTTTGACATCTCATAGCACTTGGCCTGACTAATTATATATTGACTGACCTCTGCTCTTGGTTAGGTATACTGCGTTCATCGTCTTGTACCCTATCGGATTTCTTGGCGAATGTAAGAGATATGATCGACCACCCTACTTATCGTTATTTCTACTACGTTATGGTAATCAGTTTGGTTCCAATAACTCGAACAAATCCATTTGTTTTCTTTCACTTTGGTGCAGTGTCGCTCATGTGCCAGTCGCTTCCATTTGTCAAGATGAATAACCTCTATGCAAACTTCTTTGCTGCTCTTCCCTTCAGCTATTACAACTTTCTGTGGGTAAGTTGGCATCTAAATCATCATCGTGATCTTAATCCAATCTGGCAGATTAATTATAGAATAATGTTCATGTTCCTCTCTCTTAATTAGTTTTTGCTTTCTGTGGTCAGGTTGTGATCCTAAGCTACCCCTTCCTCTGGCTCAATCTCTACCTCTATATGCTGAAACAACGAAGATCAAAGCTGGGGAACCAGAACATCAGCGAGAAGAAAAAACTAATCTAGCTAAAGGAAGGTCAAGCTTGGGAAACAGAACATCAACAAGAGAAACTAGTCGAGCTCATAAAGCCATACACATTCAAAGTCCTTCACATCTCTCGTTGAATATGATGGAACAGTGATCATTTCCCTTCACCTAAACCCCGTTTTTAATTAGAAGAACAAGGCTGTGTAGTTGATTATTATTCGATTAAAGAATGTGTCTTGCCTAGTTGATTATTATTCAATTAAAGATCGTCTAGACATTGGAAGAAGAAGAAGAAAAAAAAAGAGTTAGTTTCAAGTAATGAATGAAATAGCTGGTTTACAACGCTTCTACTTGAGTTCAACTTACTTAACACCTAACTATATATACGAAAAGTAACTCGCAAGTTCATAGAATCATAGCTCAATATAGCTTACAAAGTTCTCGAGCTATTGAAAAGATTGAGAGAAAATGTTTATGAATGATATTAACTTTTTTCCATTTTGTATATAATTGACTGCTTACCTCCGTTTAATTATACTTAGGCGTCATCTAAGGTATCATATATCGTACTCTGTCTACGTATTGTTGATCCTTAACGGGCTACGTAACCTCTAGGCTAGGTGTTTTCTCATACCCTAACGCCTAACATTAAGCGCTACTTTTTCAACCATGTAACTTCATACTTGAGAGCAAATGATTGAAGGAAAAGAACAACAACACTTACAGAGGAATATATTCAACACATGGAGCAAAAGCCAGCAGCAGATAATCAATTCCGAACCCGATAACAACAAGTACACTTACACACAATTCACTCAAAATCAGTAATCATGGACGGGGAGCTGTTCATGTGTGGACGGGGCCATGAAGAAAATCTCGTAGACCAGCGCGGCGATCCCGGCGCCAGCGAATGGGCCGAGCCAGTACACCCAGTGGCTGCTCCAGGTCCAGCTCACGACGGCAGGCCCAAACGACACCGCCGGGTTCATCGACGCACCGTCGAAGGCTCCTCCGGCCAGGATGTTGGCACCCACGATGAAACCGATGGCGATGGGGGCGATCGTCCCCAGCTCTCCCTTCTTCGGGTCCACGGCCGTGGCGTACACCGTGTACACCAGCCCGAACGTCATCACGATCTCGAAAACGACCGCGTTCCACTCGCCCACTCCCTCGGATAGAGCGAAAGCCGATGTTTCCTGACACCATACATAAGAAGAAGAAAAAATGTAAAACGTCGATTAAGATATTGTCCGTTTTGAATCTATATTCTCACAATTTATTTATTTATTTATGAATTTTAGATTTCTCTCGTTAGGATTTGTCTAAGTTGTTTATTGAAAAAAATGTTAACCATTGAAAACAAAATTTAGAATTCGAATTTTCCCTTTACCAGTCCGCCGGTGGAGAACTTGAGGAGCAAGCAAGCGGCGACGGAGCCGAGCAGCTGGGCGATCCAGTAGACGATGCTTCGGACAAACGTGATGTGTCCGCCGACGAATGCGCCGAAGGTGACGGCGGGGTTGACGTGTCCGCCGGAGATGTTGGCGCCGACGGAGACGGCGACGAACAGTGCGAATGCGTGTGCGATGGCCGCGGCTATCAAGCCGGCCGGTGAGGCAGGGCCGCCGCCGGTGAGCTTGCCTGGTTAATTAATCACGAATATAATTAGTAAAAAGTCCTTATGAATTCAATGGATACTTTACTATAATAAATTAGTTGGTTTGGACAACTCGAAATTTAAGATAATGTATCTTACCCCATATATTAACATGATTCTCAAACGGAAAGTCATTTTCGGGGCTTGTCAATAATGATTAGTGAGATTCAAACAAAATAACTTTCCGTAACAAAAATATTTTAATACCATGTTATGAGTCAATTGATCACAATACCTCAAGTAATTAAAAACTGTTCAATAATAGATCTTATAATATTCATAAGCAAGAAACTTACCAAAAGCCATGCCGGAGCCTTCTCCGGCGAACACGAAAATGAGCATGGAGATGAACTCGGCCAGGCCGGCCTTGAGCGCATCGGGCTGGCCGGCTTCCGCCAGAGATCCAAAGGCGATTCTAGAGATCGGCATTCTTCTTTCTTGTTGTTGGTTGACTTTGGAGTTTACTCTCAAAGTCAAAGCTCGAATGTTGTTAGTATTGCTTTCGAGTATGGAGCTTTGGTTTAGTGAGCTGTTTACTTTATATACGCGTGGGAAGCGGGCGGGACGAGCTGGTTCAATTCTGAATTCTCCCGGGTTTTCTCTTTGAATTATTATGGACGGGTTGTCTTTTGCCGGCAAAATGAGCTGTCGTTGTCTTATAGGCGGGCCTCCAATTTATTCCTTGGGCGCCACGTGTACGGCTGATGTGACCAAACCTGCCAATCCTAGAGCGGAGAAATTTTGGAGTCGGAGTCGTTTTAAATTATTTAGTTTGAGCTTTCTGCTTAACCGACCAAATGAGTTGTTTAATGTTTTGGCTGATGTGGATGAATTAGGGATTAGTTGTGGAGGCCTCATTTTCAGCCACTAATTCAAGGTTAACAACTCAATTGAATTTGAAAATTATTATTAGATTAAAAAAGACACAATGATTTGGATCAGTTAAATGAATGATTATTTCCATTGTATTTGTTAGTTTATCTTGCATTTGGGATTTTGATTAATGAATACTGAGAAGAATAAACACTAGTGGGAACCTTATTTTAATAGGCTGCTTATTTAAAATTATCCCAATCAATATTTTAAATCACTTTCTACTTCTGTATGTATTATGGAATAATAAGTTAAGTTTGTCCTTTGGTAGTATGTTCTTTAGTTTCAAGTCACCCACCTCACTGGGGTATAATCAAAATGTCGCTACCTTTTTAAAAAATTCAAGAAAATTTTATTTAATTACCATAAAAATTATATATACGAACAAAAGTTTAATTTAGTCATAGCAATATTGATTTTCAACCAAAAATTCTCAGGTTTGAATTCTTTTAAATAACTAGCTTATGAGAGTTTTGATCCTAGAACTTCATTTTATTTCCTTGTTTCACCTTCACATGCGCACACGCGGACCTTTCTAGATTTGTTAGTTTTTCTAAGGTCAAGTAAAGATATGCTCTAGAGAGATAAGTGGTATTCTGAGTTTTAGAGAGAGAATCCAACTTGCTTAAATGCTCTTAGTCTTACCTACTCCCTACGGGACAGGTTACGGTGAGTACTACAAAAGTAGTAATCACCATGGTTACTAAGAGTAAATTGGGTATGAAAAATAAATCATATTAATTAATTTTTTTAATAAATTACATTTTAGATAGTTACAAAAATCTATTAATTACAATTCTCTCTCTTTCTCTCACTTCTGTAATCTCTAGCCAAATCCCCTTTACTTATTTTTCTCAATCTATCTGCAAAAGAAAAAGAAAAAAAACACGAAATCACTACCAATCCATTAGACAACCACTACCACTTTGAAAAACATCAATACCATTGCAGAAATAAATCTATATCATTACACGAAAACTACCAATATAAACAATCTACCAATATAAATCTATACCATTTCAAAAAAATCAATACCATTGCAGATTAATCAATACCAATACATGCAAATTAATACCATTACATGATAATCAACAACAATGCGACAAAAACAATACCAATGCAACAAAATCAATACCAATGCGACAAAAACAATACCATTGAGACGAGAGGGTCGGAGATAAAAGGATGGCCAGAGCTGGCGATTGCTTTGACGACATCCGTGATCCCGTACTCGCCCAGGACGCTTGTCCATCGGCTCCTTCCTGTTTTTAGAGAGAGAGAGAAAGAGAGAAGGGAGGGTCATGGGATGGTGGGATGGGGTTGGGAGTTAGGGAGGGTGAGGTGGAGAGGGTTGTGGGATGGGGTGGAAAGTTAGGGAGCGGCAGGCGGGAGGGGAGGTGGGAGGGTGGGGAGGGTAGATGTAGGGTTGGGGAAGGTAAGTTATAAATATAGGTAATAATCTCGTGTGATATTATTTTGATTCTCAAACTATCCTTAATTTAACCTTGACGTCATTTTAAAAAAAGGAAAAAGTAGAGCTAATAAACAGTTTAGATGTAGGTAGCCACGATGGTTACTAAAAAACTAGTATTCATCCTAACGCAGTCCACTCCCTACTTATACCCTATGTGGATCCGACAACCTTATCAGAGCATTAAATGTCTTATTTCCCCAAACGGGCATGCGCCCCGACCAACGCTCTTGATCACACACACGGCCACAAAGGCGCATGCGCCAGACTGTCAGTATCAGTACTGATTTGGACAGACACTTACTTTGTCGTCATGCGCCTCTGAGTAGGGTTTTTCTCCTTGCCCAACCCAAAATAAGCATGATGGATTTTATTCTTCCTGGACTCACTCTTCCGTTGATGCTATGTTAAGTGTGCCTAGCCTCATGTATTAATCTCACCAAACACAATTCATTCATATTTTCAAATGATTTTGGGTACCCTCAATTGTTTACTAAAGATTCGAAAGTATGTTTGTACTACTTGATAATTTTTACATTGATAATAATTAGTTCATATGTAATTTTCTTGATCGGTTATTCTAAGGTACTAATTTCTATATATTCCATATTAAAATTTTGCACTATTTATTAGTGCATATATATATATATATATATATATATATATATTATTGAGATGTTAATGCGTATTGAAGGGTGTTTGTACAACTTGCTTCATGCTTTCAGTTTAGTTCCCGCCGATTTCGTCTTATGTTTAAGCAATTTATTATGCATTGTCGTTACCCAATTGAAAGAACTTTGTCATATGCTCTATTGAACTCAAATATGTTGCTAAATGGGAGTCAACGTTACTTTGAATTTTATTGATGGTGAGAGATGGAGAATAAGCGGAAAAGAAAGATATAAAATGGGTTGGAAGGTGTTGGGTCTAGTATTAACCCGCATAATACGGGCCCAAGCCCACCACAAAGCGACTCACCTTGGGCCCAAGACCGCTCTAGGGTCCAGTCCACCTGGGGGAGTCCATCACCAGGAGGA